AATCAACGACGATGGGTCGAATTCGAAATGGGAAATGATATCCGATTCTATAATGCACATTTCGTCGACGTTGAAAAACGGCAAGTCGGTTTGTCTAGATGTAGATTCGAACAATAATATCGTTATGAACGGATGCAAATGCTTGAACCAAGATAATCGATGCGATCCCGGGAGTCAATGGTTCAAACTTGTAGACAGCACAAGGAGCGGAAAACGAAGGAAAACCCTTGGTAGAATTCGATTCAACCATTGATTTAAGAGTTCCCGTGGAGCCTTTGGTTCAATGTAAACTCAGTCTTTGATTGATTCAGTTAGGGTAGAATATGTGCTCAGTCGTTAGATGGTTGCGTATACCTCCGTTGTTAAAAATATAATCAACGACTTTGAAAATTACAGTCATTTTTAATTATTACAACGATTTTTACTCGTTATAAAATATAAGAAATTTTGATAACGACTTAAATTGATTGTTCCAATGTATTTTAATAACCATAATATTATACTAAATATTTTTTTTTACTCTTTTGACTATACAAAGTTAGTTCAAAATCATATATTATGTGTTATATGATAAATTCTTAGAATATTATGTGAATTTTTGTAATGAAAAAAGAGAGTGAGATGGTATGATTTTAAGAAAAGCTAAATCCAATGAAAGTATTTAAATACCAATTTAATAATAAGATATAACTTCATGGATCAAGTAATTCAAAATATAATACGAGAAAATTAAAAGAAAAATTATTAAAACTTTGTTCTATAGTGTGAAAAAAATTGAAAAGATGAAAAATTAAAAGTTGAAAAAATAAAAAGATGAAATTTTCTTGTGTTTGGTAACAATGACGGAATAATTGAAAGAAAATGTAATTTTTGGTTGTTCATTATTTATTATAGTTGAAAAAAAAGAGGAAAGAAAATTAAGTTTTTTTAAAAAAAATTAGGGGTGTAAATTAACAGATCGTTCGGATAACTGTTTGTGAGCTGTTCGTTTATGTTTTTTCGTTAAGCTAGATAAACGAGTATGAACAAAACATTTTATGTTCATTTAATAAACGAACAAATATGAACAGATGTGTGTTTGGTTCGTTTATGTTTACGAACAAGCTCGTTGTCGACATCGTTTTTTCGCCCGGGCGGGGAAAATCAATACCGACTCGGGGGTTTTCTTTTTGAAAATCGTTTAAAAGTGTGAGGAGTCGCCACTAATCATTTAAGGTGTGATTGGAACACCGTAAAAAACCGGGTGATTTTAATAAAACATTTTATCTTAATAAAATACTGAGTTTCAGGGTCTACGAAAATTCAAAAATCAGGTTCGGGAGTCAGTTACGTGTGGGGAAGGATTAACACCCCCACAAACGCCCAAAAAATTGGTACCTAGTTGATTACCCTATATTTAAAATTGGAAATTTTGAGTTCGATCTTTATTTAATTTGAAAATCATTACGGATGCAAAGTTGAAAAGGATATTCATTTATTAAGGCCGATAGCATTCACTCCTGAGCGTAAATGCGGAAGATCAGCTATTGTGCCTAATAACTGAACATTGTCTCGTTTTTAGAAAATATGATGTGGTTTTGGAAAAGGATGTCGACCTATTTAGGAAATCACCAGTAGTCACCCCTGAACGTGATCGTGGGAGATATACTATTAATTCCTTAAATAAATGAACAGTGACTTAAGTTTTAAAAACAATGCAATCGAACAATATTTTATTTAATCCTAATTATACTAAAAATAAATTAAGGCTTTTTTTCTAACCTACATGTCAAATTATGAAAATTAAGGAACCTAGAGGCTTAAATCTAAAAGCATAGGCTCTAATATTAATCCTATTTAATTTTAATTAATTATTAAATTGAATAACCGAGATACTCCCTCGAGCGTTTACGCGAGGGCCAACTCAAATTATCCTCTAAATTAAAAGACTAATTTGAAATATAAACTAAAATAGAGGCTAATTTCAACTTAAACTAATTTTAATAATATTACAATTCGAATAATTAAATTGAAATCCCAAGCAAAAGCGATACCAAATTAAAAATTCTCCTAATTTAAGTATAAAAATTTATACGTTAGGACTAAAATGCAAGAAATCTAAGTCTATAGGTTTAAATCTATAATCTTAGGCTCTAATTATGGACTAAATTGAAAAGAATCTAAATCTAAAGGATTTCATCTAAAATCAAGTATCACATCACTAAATTAAGCAAACTTGAATCATAATTTAAAATAAATAAAAGAACAAATTTATAAACCGATAAAATGATAAAAAATTAATAAATGCCAATAAATAAAAAAATTAATTAACATGATAAGAAAATAAATTAACCAAATATAAGATAAACAATAAATGGAAAAAAAAATCAAATAAACATGAATCCACCAAATCCAAAAAGCTTAAATGGAAACTAAAATAAAGACATGAAATACTATGGCATTAACGGTCAAGTTTAAAAAGTGTGCAAAAATATATAGACAAAATCAATTAACTTTAGCAATTTGTTAAGTAATTTTCGGATAGGAATCATTAACAGACTAAAAAATAAACTAGATACAATGCAAACATATGGAAACAAACATAATAAAGAAATATTATAATCAATATCATTCCATGTATAATCACTATTATATTTAAAGTCTGGATCCTATAGTATAATATAATTGTTTAGTACATAATATTTACGTTTATACCTATTCCTATATACGTGACTATAATATAATTAATATATGAGTATTAAAAAAACTAAATTAAAACGACGCTAAACTTATAGGGACTAAAATAGTGAATTAACCAAAATATCAAAACACAAACGGAAAATGGAAAATCACAAAAACGATCCCTAACAGTGACCAAAACACAAAAACACGGTAAAGTTAGAAGTATTTATGATGTAATTAGACAATTAATATAGTCTATATATACACCATTTTTAGGCTTTTTTTGTTTGTTTCATTTCTCACAAAAACCCAAAAAAATGGGGAGAATTCTCTCAACTCTCCCCCAGCCGGCTCAATGCCGACAAATCTTCTCGGCCCGGTCATCGTCCGGCCGCCGCTCCGGCCATCGTGCATGGTGGCCGAAAATCTCCAAACAACTCCAAATTTTCCCAAATGCTCGGATCTAGTCCCCTAAGCCTAGATCTAGGGCTAAAAAACTCTAAAAAAAACCTAAACGACAAAAAAACTCCCTGACCGTTCGATTTCCACTTGCCCCGGCCACCGCGAAGACCTCAGACCAAGGTAAAATATTTTACTCTCGATTGTTTTTTATATTACACATGCAAAATAATTATTTTATGCCATTTGAATACTAAAAAAATAAATAATAATACCTAAAAAAACTCTTTTATTGTTTTGTTGTAGATCTGGAAATCTGAAAAATCCCCCTCCTAATTTATTTTAGTATTTTCTCGTAATAGCATAGATTAAAAAAAATCAATATTTGAATACGAAAATTAAAAAAAGTTTACCCTTTAATCTGCTGGTTTATTTCTCTAAAATATATGAGAGAAAAATCCTCCCTTTTTGATTACATGCGTTTGGCTTTTATAGCCAATTTTATAATGATTTTTCAGTTGATTATGCCTTGATTCTCGCAGGGAACAAGGGATGATGGAGTTGGTGTTGAAAAAAACGGGATGGTGGGTGTTGGTGTTGAAAAAATGGGGTGGTAGGTGTTGGTGTTGAAAAATGGTGTTTACACTCGTCTATCGACTCGTTCATTTATGTTCATGAACAAGCTTGCTTACCTGATTCTCCTTTTCCTTTTATTTTTTTACATTTTAAATATTGGTGAAGATAGAGATTAATTTGAACACATGATAAAAGTTAAAATTAAATTGTGGATTTTAAAGAATTTAAGCATCAGTGGTGTAGTTTTAACATTTTTCTTTAGCATGTAGATGAAAGGGTAAAACTAAAAATTGAATATATAAACGAACTCTAAATGAACGCTAAGCGAACACGTTCATGGACAATAAATAAACGAACACGAACATTTTCAAAAATAAATAAACGAACACGAACATTTTCAAAAATAAATAAACGAACACGAACACAATATTAAAAATTTAAATGAATATGAACACCTTAAATAATAAACAAACGAACATAAACATAATTTTATCCGTTCAAACTCAGTTCGTTTGCACCCCCAAAAAAATATGATTTTAATTTATATTTCTCTCATGTTTTATTTCATCTTTTCTTTTTTTTTATTAATTTATGATGATTACACAATAATATATATTCTAAAACTTTTCAATTATTTAATAATGAAAATTCAAATATTTTTATAATCTCTAATACTCAAACTTATATCTTCTAAAAATAATAACCATATATTTAATTATTGAAGGAACTTGATTCTCTTATTTCTTTTTAAATTAAAATGATCTGATTTTACATACAAGAATAAAAAATGACCACAGTTATTAACACGCTTAAAATGTAGATTTCCCCCTCATTTTTTGCTCTCTTCTTTCTTCTAATTTTCCACTTAATCAAACATATCTTACAAGTTTATCGTTTTGTTCATGATGTATATTTAGAGACGAGAATTTGATTCAATCCGACCCGATCAAGTTTATTGTTTTTAAAGATGGAGTCGTGTTGAATTAGGATTTATAATACAAATTTTAATTCAATTTGAGATAATATTATAATTATTTCTTATATATTTAGAGATAATTATAAGAATATTTATCTTTATATTATTATTTTAACTAATAAAAAATTATATATATATTTGTACTGAGTTGAGTGAGTTTAGTTTAGATTTTTACTGAAAAAGAAATCAAATTTTAGATCGAATAAAATCTTCCTAAACTCAAGTTGATTGCGAGTTGAAGAGTTTTTTTTTAGGTTAAGTTCTAGTAAATAAAAAATCCGGCTCAACACGTGATTATCTACGTGTATTCTATTTTTAGGGCTTTGGCCGACTGATAAAAATATGGAAAGGCCTAACAATTATCCACCAGGCCTGAACTTTCAGTAAGCCATTTTCGGACATACTGCTTGCTCAGGTCAATTCTCGGATTAGGCTCCCAGACATTGGCTTTTACGCTTTGCTGCATTCCCTGCATTTCCAGGCAAATCCTCAGACGACAGCAGTTGTCTCTATTCTGACCTCAGCTACTCTTCATCTAGATATCAAGGTTAGATTCTTGTTTTTACCTCCAAACCTTTATATATATATATAAAGGCAAATTTTATTAATTTTTAGATAAAAATGGAAACTTTCCCTATATGATTGAAGAAACTTAAGGTGTTAGTACTGTTATTGTGGTTATCTCTGCTGATTTTCTTTTGTTTCGGAGTTTGATTACTTGGATTTCCTTATAAATATGCTTAAAATCTATGGCTAGTGAAAATATGCTACTAAAATGATCCTTACTAGGAGTTTGGATTTTTATTTCTTTTGCTTTTATTACATTTGTTCTGGAGTTTGTGTATTCTTGACATGGCTGATATAGGTTTAAAGCTACGCTTTTCCTTGTTATGTCTTTCGTTTCATATTGTTTGATTTAGGAATAACTTCTTTTCCCCCTCACTTTTGATGTGTTAAAGGTTAATTGGGCAATGGCTGAAGAACAAATAGATTTTGGAGATGAGGAGTATGGAGGAGCACAAAAGATACAGTATCAAGGGAGTGGGACCATACCTGCTCTTGCAGATGTAGAGATGATTGGGGAGGATGATGAATACGATGATCTCTACAATGATGTTAATGTTGGGGAAGGTTTTCTTCAGTTTCAACGATCTGAGGCACCGACACAACCGGCTCTCATGGGCAGTACTGGACTTCAAGCTCATAAAAATGAAGTTCCTGAACCAAGAGGTGAAGCTGGGGGTTCACAAGGGCTAAACATCTCTGGAATTTCAGTTCAAGGAAAGTACGCCAATGTTAATGCCGGTTATCGAGAACCAGAGGGGCAACTAGCTGTTAACAGACCAGAGATAGAATCTAGAAGTTATCCATCTAGGTCTACCAATTCACAAGGGGGTGGTGTTATGGAGTTGAACTCTGATACCCAAGTAAAAAATACGGGTTTTCAAGGGTTAACTTTAGCATCCTCAAAGGTTGGACCTGGTCCTTCTGGTGTGCCTCAAAAGATTATTAACAACCCTGCTCAATCTCTAAATTCATGGACTGGTGGTCCTCAAGGAGCTTCTCTGATTCCACCTAATCAAATGGGTATGACTGCAAACCATCCTATGATGAACGAAAATCAGAATCGACCACCTTTGGAGAATGGTCCAACCACGTTGTTTGTTGGTGAGTTACATTGGTGGACAACTGATGCAGAGCTTGAGAGTGTATTATCTCAATATGGAAGGATGAAGGATATTAAGTTCTTTGATGAGAGAGCTAGTGGTAAATCCAAAGGGTATTGTCAAGTTGAGTTCTATGATTCAGCGTCTGCAGCTGCATGCAAAGAGGGAATGAATGGTTATATGTTCAATGGGCGAGCTTGTGTTGTGGCTTTTGCTTCACCACAAACATTGAAGCAGATGGGAGCTAATTATACGAACAAAGACCAAGGCCAGCCACAAGTACAATCTCAAGGAAGGAGGCCAAATGAAGTTTTTGGGAAAGGTGGTAATATGAATTACCAAGGTGGGGATACAGGAAGGAACTATGGAAGGGGTGGCAGTGGACGAGGTGGTCAAGGTGTCAACCGAGGTGGGGGTGGAGGACCGATGAGAGGAAGAGGAGCTGTAGGTGTAAAAAACATGGTTGGGAGCTCAGCCGGAGTTGGAAATGGTGGTTATGGTGTTGGGGCCTATGGACCAGGTCTGGGAGGTCCTGCTGGTGGCATGATGCATCTACAAGGTATGATGGGTGCTGGATTTGATCCAACATATATGGGTCGAGGAGGCGGCTATGGAGGTTTTTCAGGACCTGGTTTTCCTGGCATGTTTCCTTCATTTCCAGCTGTTAATACAATGGGACTAACTGGTGTTGCTCCTCATGTCAATCCTGCTTTCTTTGGCCGTGGAATGGCACCTAATGGAATGGGAATGATGGGTGTATCTGGAATGGATGGGCCTCACACGGGAATGTGGACTGACTCAAACATGGGTGGGTGGGGAGGTGATGAGCATGAACGTAGGACTAGAGAATCTAGTTATGGTGGTGAAGATGGTGCTTCAGAGTATGGGTATGGGGATGCAAATCATGAAAAAGGAAGGTCAAGTGGTGCCACTCGGGAAAAAGAGCGGGTTTCTGAGCGTGAGTGGTCTGGCAACTCAGAGAGGAGGCATCATGATGAGAAGGAACGAGAATTGGATAGGTCTGAGAAGGAGCATAGGGAACACCATTACAGGGAAGAAAAAGACAGCTACAGAGAACACCGACGTCGTGGACGTGACCTGGATTATGATGATGACCGGGATAGGGGACAGTCTTCAAGATCTCGAAGCAGGTCCCATGCTACCCGAGAAGACGAGCACAAGTCTAGATCAAGGGACGTGGACCATGGGAAGAAGAGACACCTACCGTCAAAGTGACAAACTATGCTGTGAATGCTTCTTTACTCTTTCTTATGAGACCTTTAATTAAGTTTTCACCCTCAGTTTCCCTTGCCTTGGTTGCTATATCATTTCAACTTTCTCTGTGATGATTGTTGATCCATATGCAGAACGTGGCTTCTTAAAGGAAGAAGTAAGTGCTACTTGCATGGTGGTGGGGAAGAATAGTCTTCCCTTTTTGTCTCTTACTGCATTCTAGGGAACAACTATTAGATGAAGAAACTTAGTATTCGTATGTTGGAGCTTGGAAAACATAGTATTTTAATCTATGTGGATATTCTTTTGTGGGGTTGCAATCCTAACATCCTACAGCTGAATATCTACAATGTTTATAATTATCTGCAAAACACTATATTCAAGGGAATGCTCACTTGGCTTGTGGTCGTGATACTTAGAAAATATTGTTGTTCATATGATCGTTGGGATTTGTTCTTTAGAAGCATTCTTGTGATATGTTTGCATTCTTGGTTGATAAGAAATATTTCTAGCTTGTGATTTTTTTGAACATCCTTTTATGGGGGTTAGAAGTTAGGAGGGTTCGTAGGTCAGGAAGTTTGCTTGGCATAAGCCTTAGACCTTGCTAGATGATGTATATTGTATCTGATTGCATGAGAATGAATTTCATCTCCTTTTTACTTTTATCCTGCTTCTTCACTCTTTTATCATGATGTTTTCTGGTTACTTCATCTTTCTGTTCTTTAGTTGTTCATTTTCTATAATCATATCATTTGCTTTTCAATTGAGATTTGCCGGATATCATAATACATGCTATATGTTTTCAATATTGCCGTTTTATTTTTCCTTTGCCTCTTTCAAATTTTTGAAGCTCGAGTTTTGGTGAGTTGTGCTATATGTTAGATAGTTTTACTTCTTTCCCATTCGAATGAAGCTTGTCTGTCAGTATTCAGCTGAAAATGCATCTTTTAGTTCCAAAGTTTAGGGTTAATTGTGTTTGAAGTTTTTAACTGTATGATAAAGTTATCCTCCGAGACACAGCTGGTTTAAAAAACAATGCTTTACCTAGAATGCTATAGCTTACCGTTTTAGTGCCCAATTTCTAAAGAGGTTCTGCATGCTCATAGTTATTGTGAGCCATATCTATGTGACTCATCATCTATTTCAACTGGTTTCTCATAGATACGAGGATCACGGCTATAGGACTACTAGACATCAGGTTTTATTTACAATTAAAATATAATGTGATTCTTGTATGGTTAGTGAGTAATGCACGTAGGTTGCGGTGGTGTTTGGCTTTCTCTTTTTTCTTTTCTTCTTTTCCTCTTTAATGTCTATTGACATAGGGATTTATTTTTATCATCACATCCAGGGAGTCAAATGAGGCAACTCTTTGTTGAGGAAGATGTGTTAAAATGGCTGGCTTCATTGGCCTCTGATATTTTCTTTGGCCCTTTAAAGTTTATATATATGTTTTTTTTGAGCCTGCTAAGAAATTGTAACTTCCGGAAAGAAAGCAAATCCAACTGAATCCGCAAATTGGAATGTTGGTCCAAGTCGTGTAAAACATTTTTGTCTTGTAAAATTCAATCTGTTGATTAGGTCCATATCTTGAAATGGTCTCTTTCCTTGTTTGTACGATCCTGTATTCAGATGTCATACGAGTCTTGTAGGAGTTTTGTACAGAAATCAAGGCCAACACTTGTAACCTGTATGTTTAGCTTAGAATAGGCATAGATGAGCTAGATGCAGATTGTAACATAGGGTGGCTGACTGTAACTGTTGATGTAACACACATATTCCCTGGTTTCTGTGTAAGCACTTGTAATTTACATGTTAGCATAGAATAGGATATAGATCAGCTAAATGGAATTGTAATGAAGGATCGTTGATTCAACTGTAACTGTTTATGTAACACACATTCTTCCCATGCTCGTATTAGAGTAGGTGTAGATGAGCTAGATGCAATTTGTAACATGGGGTTGCTGTTCCAACTATAACCGTCGACGCAACATACACTCCTGCTCTTGTTTAAGCACTTGTTCATGCTTGTATACACTTGTAATTGATATGTTAAGCTTACTACAGGCTTAGTTGAGCTAGATGCAAATTGTTCATAGGGTCGCCGATCCAACTGTAACCGTTGATGTAACATACATATTTCCCGGTTTCTGTTTAAGCTGTTTATATCACCAAATTGTAAAGGGTTTCTGGATTTACTGTATTGTTTGCTCCTCGGAATGTATCGGTCACTGCTGCATTTTATGTAATGATTTAGGCAGAGAAATTCGGGTCGATTCGGGTTTTATATCGCGGTCTACCATGTTTTTAGTCATTTATGTTGGAATTAAGATTGAGAATGCTATTTTGTGTACTATTCTAATGTTTATCTCTTGTATATATTGCATGGTTGAAATATAACGCATGGCCAAGTTTGATGTGTTTTGGAATTTGAATATAGAGAAAATTATAAATGTATTTGATTTCTGTTATTCGGATAGAGTGTTGGATACGAATATTCATCTGGTACAAGTATACAATGTTTTTTTAAAGATATATTCATGAATGTGCCGATTTGATAAGCCTTTTTATATTTTCATGTAATCCGAATAATACCTACTCTTATCATGTGCTATGTGGTTTGGACAGACAAATCTAACTTGTTAAGGAAGAAATATTATAGTAATGTACAATTATTTTCCCCTGTTTTCCAAGAAAATGAAGAATCATAGAAAATTTCAAGGCTTTTCTGGATAAAACAAACCCTTGAAGAACCAGAAGTTTACTATTGATACACGAAAACACAAAATTCAACTCAATATAATCAGTGCTTGGTGAGAAAATTAAGCAATACCCACAAGCTTTTTCACTGTTCATGGAAGATTACATGTTGAATGTGGGGCTAAGTTTATGTAACATTGTTACACAATTGATTTTGTGTCTAGTTGACAAATAAAAAAATGTTTTAATTATGTTATCGAATTTTGTTTGATTCAATTAAAAAAAATTATGGTGCGATTAGGGATGAATATTTGATATGAATTTAACAGGTTTTGATCTAAATTAAAAAAAAGATTTTGTTGGATTAAGTCAGAATTTTTGAAATATAAAGCATGGTCAAATCGAGTTCAAATTTAGGATAAAAATACCTTATCCGATAATATTAGTATAATTGACATTTATATATTTAGAGATAACTATTATAATATTTTTATCTCAATATTTTTGAAACTCGTATTTCATCTAATAAAAATGAGAATTACGCGCGCGCGCGCTCGCGAAATAATATATTTGTATCATATCAGATTGGGTGAAACTTCCTTAATCTCGAATCGAGTGATGGGTGGAGGAGTACTATACTCGGCTCAGATTTAGATGGATCAAACCGGATTCGATCAGGCCATGCTCATCCCTAATTATGACACTCCGCATCTACCATTCACCGTGTAATGCGATACAAATTTATCTTTTTAGGATTGTGAGAGAGAAAAAGAAATTTTGTGTAGATGCAAGTAACTTATTTATCGACATATTTGATCTTATTTGTTTACTCATAATTATAGAAGATTTTATCCATACAAGTAACTTTGTCGGTTTATCCTTGTACAGGTGCAAGTGACACGAAATAATATATTCTGACGTTGAATTTTTAAATATAAAAAAGAATTATAATAGTGAAATAATAATATTTATATAAATAAAAATACATGTTACAAATGAGCATTCCTATAAATATACGCACGAAACGGGGCATTCATTAACAAGTATATGTGCTTTGTTCACGAAGCTTGGCTTAGTGCAACAATGAAGCTCGACGTTGAATTACTGTCCAAAGAGATCATCAAGCCATCTTTCCCAACCTCCGATCAGTTTCGCTGTTATCAACTCTCGTTTCTCGATCAATTATCGCCTCCGGTTTATAACCCCTCGTTTTATTTTACCGTTCAATCGTATCCGAAGGTGATATTTAATCCTGCAACAAAATCAAAGTTATCGACCGTCTCAAAAAATCCTTGTCCGATGTCTTGACCTATTTCTATCCGCTTGCCGGTCGTAATAACGATAACATGTTTGTAAACTGCAATGATGAAGGCATACCGTTTGTGAAAGCTCGAGTTCGATGCGGAATTTCGGATGTTTTGAACAATCCCGTGCCGGGTGAACTCAACAAATTGCTTCCTTTTGCGCTCGATGATGATGACGAAGTTCCCTTTGGTGTTCAATTCAGTGTTTTCGATTGCGGAGGCTTTGGAATCGGTGTTTGTGTTTCTCATAAAATCGCGGATGCCTTATCTTTATTCACATTTTTGAAAACTTGGGCTGCAGTTTGTCGCGGAGGTCCTCGGAGTTCGATAGTGTTACCTGAGTTGGTATCGGCTGAACTCTTCCCACCGAAGACAATGTTAGGATTCGAACCGAGAAACGGTGTATCGACCAAAAGAATAGTGACAAAAGATTCATTTTCAGTGCATCAAAAATAGAAGAAATCAAAGAGAACATAGGAAACAAAGTATACCCTTCACGTATCGAGGCCTTATCGGCCTTCATATGGAGTCGTTTCATCGCCTCAATGAAAGCAAACTCCAACATGACGACGAAGATAGTCACTTCTATGCCATTGTCCATGCAGTAAACTTACGTAAACGATTCAATCCGCCACTTCCCAACCATAGTTTCGGGAACTTGTACCGGATCGCGAATGACACTCCCAAAGAAAAACTCCGAACTAGATTGTCACAACCTCATTAACCAGATCAGAGAATCGATACAAAAAATCGATGCGGAATATATAAAACAACTCCGAGAAGGGTCGAGTCAACACTTGGAATTCATCAAAGAGAAGGCTGAAAGCTTCATTAAAGGGGAGATAATTTCGTTTAACATCACGAGTCTATGGAAAACCGGCCTGGGTCGGCTCGGCGAGCTTGAATTTTAAGAATCTTTTTGTTTTCATGGATACCGCTACTGGAGATGGAATGAGGCATGGATTAGCTTAAAAGAGGAAGACATGGATACATTAGAACAAGATGAAACATTGCTTAGATTTGTTGTTTCGTAGAATTTAATGTATGGTTTCATGTCTGAAAGTGAATATGTTTGTTGCCCCTTAAGAATTATTTGTTTTTCAAGTTGTAAGTCAACCCGACCCGTCCGACAGGCATCCGACAGGTAGTTCAGGCTGGCCCGACTCAATCGGAAATACTATTCTAATAATATGTTTGTTTAAAATCATATTTTAGAATAATAAAATGAGTTATTTGAACGGCTCAAGCTTCTATTTGCATTGCGATACGACTAGTTCTAAGATCATAAAAGAACCGAAACGGTTCGACCGAATAAACCGAGAACTAAATATATGAAATAAGCTGAAATTCAAGAAATAAATAGTTTAATTTAAAAAAATATTTATTAGGCTTCACTAAATAAGCTGGAACCCTACAATACAAAATAATTCAGATTGTCATATGCAAAGAAATTGACAATATTTCAGTTCCACCCCAATAGAAACTCTGATTAATCTTTAAAAAAAGTACACCAACAAAATCTATAATCTATATCTAACCTGATGAGCCGTTGCCGATCGATTTGCGGGTTTCGACCGTGTCTTCACAACCAGAATATTTCTTTTCCACAAGTTCTTCCAAGCGTTTCCATGTGTTTTTCCGTTTTGCTTTGGTCTCGTCTTCCTTCGATTCGTCTACTTGGAACTTGAGCAAGCATTCGTTGAACAGCTCTGGGTCAAGATCGTTGAAGATTTTGCGGACGTTTAGAGTCAAGCTATGTACGGCTTGATTCCAGTGATTTCTTGCATTTTTCTCCAATGCCGGGATTATAATCGGTAGTATAACTTTTCGGTTTTGAATGATTAAGTTCTCGATGTGATCATTGTTCCACAAAAATAAGCTCGCTCGGCTACCTGAGAAGCGGAAAATATATGAAAATCAATAGTTTCAAAAGACAAGGACAAAATTATAAGTTCCATGAAAGACACAAGGGTAGAAACCTAAGTCATTCGGATGAGGATATGAGTCTCATACTAGAATCCTAAGAAGATTATATCCTTACATCCTTTTCCCCATGTATATGCATGAAAATGAAGAGTCGAAGCAATATGCGTAGAACAGGAGAACCTATCATAATACCGACACTAATTCCTTTTAACGTGAAAAACGTGTATCGACATAAAGTTAATAATATGTTACGCCAACTCTTCATTTTTCCTATTGTACCCGTGTCCATTCTCGGACCTTTGTATGACATATGATCTTTCAAGCACCCTCTAAATACACCGAAACCTTGTAAAAGAATTGAAGATACCCATGCTGGACACAACCATGTCTAACACGTACAACCGAGTCCGAGTAACATAGGAGTTATTAGAAAGAAATTTATTCGGTGTTTGGAGATCAATTCTTAACCATAGCATAGTATACTTCACCTAACCGTACTCATTTGTAGAGGATTATGTTACTCACACTCGGGTATGTTCATCAGATATGGATGTGTAAAGTTTTTCAAAGTTTTCCGTGTATTTGGACTTTGGAGGATCCTTAAGGGATCATATCTCCTTACACTTGTCCAAATAAGTGTGGATGCCGATACTTCAAGTAAAATGAAGAATTAGAGAAACATAGGTAAAGGATTATTACACGAAAGATGCATAGTAAAATACCAATAGAATGTTGAATGTCAAAATCTCCATTGTCGTCTTCCTTTTTATTTATGGGATTAATTTAAATCCCTCCCCCCCCCCCCCAAGTGATGAAACCCATGTAGAACACATTCCCATACCCGGCATTTGCACCCAAGTCCGAGTAACATAATCCCCCCGCCCTTTTATCGCAGCAATCGAACATTAAAATATATTACAACATAAACTTCAATCAACACAAGAAAAAGGTATTTTAGTTATAGATATTTAACCTCCCTGAGCTATTCCAATTTGCAAATACGACCACGAGACACTAGACTATTCAAAAACAGAAACAGCTGAATCCCGAACCACACTATCATTCCGGTTCATGAACAGTACATTTATCGGTTAATTTCACTAGTGATAACATTTTATAGGGTCTTGACATTAGGTAATCCCGTTTTAGAAACCGCCAAACCATTTCCCGGCTCTGCAATCAGGTTCTAATCTAACTGATACCACCAGCCGGAATAGCACTAAACGTACACATTGGAATGAAAATTAAAAATAATGCTTAACTTCGTGAACTATAACTTTAATATAAACAGTCATCCTCAAGTAGTTCTAACATCAATAGACAAATTCAAACCACCACTTGAACTAATTGCAAAATCAATCGGTTGCCCTTTAAGATTTACTCCACCTGTCCTTGTATGATACATATTTGGACAAGGGTACGGGCATGGTTCTCCAAATATAAGGAAAACTAGAATCCCGAATCATGGCATATAGCATCCAAATCGAAGATATGAAATAAACGAATGTAGAAATAAACGGATAAAAAATTATGGCAAAGAAGAACATAAATTTCAAAATTTCTGACCTGAAAGTGCTGACTCTTTATACATCGAGCAATTTGGTGAAATAATGGCACCATGCAACGCTGAAATTCGGGTGGTTGAGTCGCTTCTAAAACTTCCTCCAATTCATTTAGGAACATGACTTCCTTCGAACTATTCGTGATAGGCCAGTACTTTAATAACCCCCTAATGACAGTATCGGCAAGTTTGCTGTCTTTCTCGACAAACTGTGTAATGCAGTAGGATAACTGCTGATGATACATTGCTAAGCATTTCGGCTTATGCAAGGGAATCAACACCCGAACAAGGAACACTTTATGTTCTTCTTTGAGTGGCAGCGCAAACCCGTTAATAATACTGCCCAAAATTTCCAGAAGTTCAGCAATCCCATTGTGTTTCTCAGTCTCGAAAATAAAACGGAAAAAATTGTTGTTTATAGCCTTCCTAATGAAGGGTCGATGAACCATGAATTTCCCGTAGATGCGATGAAGAATTGTTTTCAAATATTCCCTCTCTCTAGGATCTTCGGAATCAAATAAGTCAAGCAATTTCATCATGAAAGATTGATCAACATATCTTTTGGCCAACTTTGCATCGGTCTTGGGTGAGGCTATAAACCTCAAAAGAAACTCATATACAATTTGCAAGTGCGGCCAGGCGGGATCCATTGAAGGCTCCTCCTCTTCCAAATCCAGGCCTTCGACGGATTTATTCTCTCGTGGTTGCAGATTAAGGCTCCTAAACAAGTTTGTTGATACCATTTCAACAATTTCTTGCAGAACAGCATCTGAAAATTTCCCATTCGCAGAAGTCACATACTCCACGAGCTCTAACAACGTCTGCCGCTTGATCTCCTTTTCTTTGAGGTTGTTGGTGGGATCGGTGAAATCAAATATGACACAACACAAGTTAAGCTTCTTTATGAATAAGTTCTGCTTCTCAGAAGCTGGAACATCTTTGAAAGCAGGCCATGCTTCATAAGAAGAGACAACATGGTTCCCATTTGGCTTCGAATTCGCAGCTTTCCATCCAGCATCTTCCGTAGAATTAGGTATGGTGAAAGACGGAACACTCAAATTCCCGGACTTGCCAGTTCCTAAGTCACTGCTCCTCGAGCCACCACCCGAAACACTAGAATAAGTACTATGGTGTCCGCCGTGTTCACGATGATCACCTGCCTTCGATGATTTCCGAGGAAGCTTACTTAGAATCTGTTTGAGCATGATTCACTTCCCTGAATTCCACAATGCAGATAACAAAAATTACGCCGAACACCTAGAAATTCTTATCAGTAATCAGTAATCCATCTATAACCAAATCTAAAATTGATATCAGCCATAAATAAAACCCAAAAATCATAATTCATAAGGATAACCTAAAAAGATTGTACCCACAGTGGAACCTAAATCTCCTAACATAAACAGAAACCAAAATCAAACTGCAAAAATAAGAGAACTAATCGAAACTCGAAACCTTTCAAATCTCAAACAACCAAAACATAACCCTTCTTCAGCTTCAAGCCTCTTGTCTGAAAATCAACCCAACAATCTAGTCTAGAACAGTACCCAATTGCAAAAAAATCAAACTATTAGGCATGAAAAAGAAGAAGCAAAACCCAGAAATTTAAACTCACTCAAAAGAAAAGATCAGCACTAGTTTCTCTCTTCTTCCACAAGGAAAGTTAAAAATTTTAATTTTTTTTGGGAAAAAATAGTAAATTTCAGACAATTCGAGATTCCAATTCATCCCTAAGATGAATTCAAAACAATTAAGGCAGTCTTAATTAAAGAACACAAATGCAATAAAACCCAGACTTAAAATTCGAGAAATTAAAATAAATAAAAGAGAACAAAAGGGGCTGCTGAAACACTTACAGAGAAGAACAATTTCAAAAACTTTCCATATTGGTTTGCTCGTTGTTCTTTGTTGACTGTAACTTCCTTCTTAGTTCTTTCTTCCTAGTCAAAAGTTCAAATCCAAACACAGGAACCAGAGAAATCGACAACCGGTGTCTGGTAACGACGTCGTTAGGGAAATGAAACTTCCCGTCTTTTTGTGTTGGGTAAAATACAATTGACACTATTAAACTATACTCATTTTTTACTTTTAGAAATTATAAATAATAATTATTTTTTCAAAAATTATTATAATATAATTACTAAAATTTATCACATTATCATGAAATAATTATTAAACGTGTTAAATTACTATAATAATTTAATAATTATTTTTCAATTTTTAAAAAATAATAATTAGACAGTTTTTTAGATATATTTTTAAAATAAAAAATTATTGATTATTTTCACGCCACATCAAGAGATTAATCAAGTTGACTACATGAATGAATGATATTGTAATTTACAATTTTAAATTCTATTTTTATCTTTATAAAATATTAAATTATTCATAACATTATTAATTTCTAAATTGAAAATACCTATATTTAATAATAATATTTTCTACCACTATGACACATGTCGATTCACCCCTTTCCTCCTTGCCTTTATCCTAAAAAAACATGCTCTTTACTCTATATTTTATCTGTATTTTAATTTCCTCGCTCTCTTTTCATCGCTGATTGTTTGTATCGGTTCGAGTTTCCCAGTTTCTCAACCGCCATCAATCCGAAGAAAAACGATATATTTTTGCCAATTTCTCGAAATTTGGAAAAATCTGTCTGTTGAGTTTCGCTGGAGTGAAATTGGGGAATTTTTTTCCTGGTAATCTTTAATCTTAATGTGGATTTGATTATCTCCCACTCCAGGTTTTTCTACGTTGCTCCTTAAAAAAGAGTTTATTTGACATGTTTGATTCGTAGAAAACCCTGGTTTTGGCTAGGTTGAATGTTCTTGAGGGATTTAAAAAAATTAAATATATAAATAAAAATTTTGATTAGGAAATTCAATTCATTATTTTTCTGTGAATACTGAATAGATAGAGAAGTTAGATTATCCCACCTTTTCTTGTGTTTCTCCTTTTAGGGATTGATATTTAGGTAATCTTAGGAGAGAGAGAAACTCAGAAATTTTTGGTGCGTTACTTTAGTTTGTCATCCAAAATCGAGGTGTTTTTATTCATTTTATTTATTTTAGCTGTTCGCACAACCCTCCCAAAAAAAGAGACAGAAATAGTAAGAAGGTAGATTTTTAGGGTTTGTATTAAAAAATGATGTTTAGGGCTTTTGGTTAAAATTAAGATTCAGGAAGGAAAGATTGGATAATTGGTTCTATAAAGAAAAATGGCGGTAAACTTTTCCCATTGGCCGGTTGTTCCTGCTAATTTGACTGAAGATGGGTGTATGAAACCTTGTGGTTCAAATCATGAATTGGAAGGTTGCGTTGGTTATGGAAGGGATATGGTCATTGCTCGATGTGGTCCTCAGGAGTCCGTTTCTAATGATATTATAGACCGTTTGCCGTCGGATCCTTTTGCAATGGATTTCACTACAATTACTGATTGGCTTGGGGCCTTGAAATTTGATTATCGTCACTATGTTAGAGATGAGATGAGGACTGGTGATGGGAGTTATCAGTTGTTTTCCGGATTTAACATGATTTGGAACAAAGCCATGTGGTTCCAAGAATTCCCCGAAAGCATGGGGTTCGAATCTAGAGGTTATGTCTCTGGTCAGTTTGGTGGGTTCTAAGGTACAGGAAGGAGGGCATGTGTCTGGTTGTGCTGCTGCTGGATCGGATTGTAATGTAGTGGACATTTTGCATACTGGGGATGAGGACATGATTTCTGTTGACTGGGGGAAAGAAGAATTTCGGAATTGTCAGGCTTGTTCTCAAGGATCTGGAGAAGCTCCTCATGAAGCTCTGATTTTGGCCCTTGGTTACCTGGGTGTGCGGGATCTTTTAGTGGTTGAAAATGTTTGCACCTCCCTAAGAAATATAGTTCAGAATGATCCTCTTCTATGGAGGAGTATTCACATTGATCAGCCACTAAACGAGAAGCTTACTGATTATTCTCTTTTACAAATAACTAACAGGGCTCTGGGTAGCTTGGAATGCTTGAGCCTGGTAGATTGCAAAAGGATTAGTGATGAGGGCCTTATGTGCGTGATTGAAAATAATCCAAAGCTAATCAAGGTTAGCGTGTTGCCTTGAGATTTTGGTTCTTGTGTCGGTTTCTAATCTTTCTGAGTTAACCCTATCATATATAAGAGTTTATTATCTGGAACATGACTGAGGATGTTTTCAACATGACAAACTGTTATATTTTGGCTGAGTTATACTGTTATCTACTCTATGATTTTGTTTTATTGTACCGACATCAATTGTTTGCATGAGATTGCTTTTTTAAAACTTTTGTGAGCTCAGTTAAAGACTAAAACATAATAAGCCTCTAGACACATCCATAAGGAGTATACGCCTGTACTCATCATGTTTGAATGTACGAACCTAGAAATAGTTTCCCTTTTAATAGAGGTAGAAAGGAGGATTACTGGTGAGTTATTTTGCATGTTTTTTTTTCTCCTCAAGCAACATATATGTGTAGATCCAATTCATTTGCTGAACGGATCCATGTTACTGTCTTCTTTGTTAGCTTTGAATGTTTTAGCTTCTATTTTATATTGCATGGAAAGCCTGAGTTTTCAAAGCAAAAAAACATATTGTGATGTGAAACAGCAAATTTTTTAAGCAGTTTTCAATTGGGAAATTTAACTGCCTTACTTTTCTTTGAGACTCTGGCTTCTGATTTTATAGTTGGATTAATATGTTTAATGTTCTCTTTTTTACTGTAAGATACTAAATATCTTCTCCTTGTAGCTGAGTGTACCCGGATGTACAAGGCTAAGCATCGAGGGTATTTTGAATAGCCTAAAGGCTTTGAAGTCTATGGGCACACAAGGGGTGAAGCATTTGAGGGTTGGGGGGCTTTTTGGCGTGACGGTGAATCATTTTGAAGAGCTGAAGTTCTTGTTAGGCATAGACAACCAGATTCAGCAGATTGTGCACAAGCCACTTTTTTATAATTGGAGGACTCTGTATCTCTCTAGTGAAGATGATCGTGCCATTGATATCGAAATGTGCCCAAGATGCCAGAATGTGATGCTTCTTTACGATTGTCCTGCAGAGGGCTGCCGGCAGAAAGACCATACTCAGTTATGCAGGGCATGCAGTCTTTGCATATTACGGTGTCTTCAGTGTGGTGGGTGCATAGATGACAATGAGTATGAGGAAACGTTTAGTCTGGAGTACCTTTGCTTAGATTGTTCTAAGCGAGAACTCGCAAAGTGCCACGAGAGTTCGGATAGGACGATTTGCACATCCAGTTTACTTGAAGTCGGCAGCCTTCATCTTCATGACTAGACTGAAACATTTCACATTTTCTATTTTCTAATAACGGCTAAGGTGCCGTGTTTGAGATGATTTGAAGCAGCCAGAAAGAAACGAAAAGATTATGGTTCAAAGAGCTGAGGAGACAATAAAATCTTGTGCTGCATGTTTTGTCCAAGAGAAGAATCTTTGTTTTGGTGGTTTTTTATGGTTGGCATTGTCACTCAATTGACAGATATGTTTCTATGGACTATCAACGTCGAAGTGGCGATGAGGGCAGGTATGGTGTCAAGTATAAGGTGAGAGTTGTGAACTTGCGGTCGGGAAAATAGACCCCCCGAGGAATCACTAGTCTATTCGGTGTTATCAGTTGAGAAATATTTCTGGCCACCATTGCTGGATGAATATGGTTTACATTCAGTCATTGCTATGTAGCAAGTACTTATCTCTTCAGTTAATCCCTTGCATGTATAATCGGAAGTTATATAATATTTTCCAAGTGTTTGATGTAAAAAGATGCATATATACATACAAGCACGCGTGCATGATTTTTTAAAGTAGGGTGGTCCTTATCTATCTCCATGGTTGATAGAGTGTGAAGCATACCTACACTAGATTCTCTTTTAATTTGTTTGTGTGTCGACATCGTGTGAAGCATACCTAATGAAATTCCCTAGATTTTCTCGCGAAATTTGTTGACAAAAGGGGATGGAAATCTTAATGGAATGATCATATTTGTCTCTTTTTTCAAAATGTAGGTTACATGTTTCACAACAAATCAAAGTATAGTAAAAGGATTGGTACATTACTTTTACCATATATAGAATATACCATGTTTTCCACATGAGATAATGCTACTAAACCTTGATGTTGTAAAAATTGAACCAATGATCAGACTGGTTATGAGATCGAGACACAGTCTCGGACCAACCGATTCAAAATCACAAATAAAAACTTTCAGCAAATATAATAAAAATATATATTTAATAATTAAAAAATAAAATAATATGATCACTGTATGTATATGGAAATATCTCAAATTTTAATTTTTTTTATAAATATGAATAAGTACAATGTAGTATCTGTTCAAAGATAATTCTCAACCATTTGACATTAAACGCTTATACCATTGACATAACTGGTGCTCGAACCCGAGATATCAAGGAATAACAACAATTTTTTTACCACCGAAGTCACTAGAATTTGTGTTCAAATTTTACATATTAATATACATAATTATGACACAATATAATATATGAATGAGGACAAATATTCCGTTATATAGCTATTGCACATGGATAATTTTTGTTCATAACATATATGTTACTTTAGTTAATTTAATTATTTTTAAAAAATATTCTACAGAAAAAGTGAAGCCACTTAGTTATTTAAATTA